CCTCCCTTTTCCTCCTTTTCCTCTTCTTCTTCTGTTTTCTTCCCGTGTCTCCTGCCTGTACTCAGAGGTAACCTAAATCTCAGAACTGCAGAACTCCACAGGAATCCCCTCCTTTCTAGCCCAACAAGCAGGGAACTCCTACCGGTTTCCATGCAAACCACGCTAACATGCAGTGTGTACATCCTAGATTTTTCCTGTGCATGTTTTTTTAAACGGTTATAATTATACCAAACATTTTGTTTCATTTTTTTCCTCTTGGTAGAAGAAAATATTTATGATATAACTTACTACAAAGTCATTGTATGCTTATTTTTAAATAATGTATTAAACAATTATGGCCTAGTTCAGTGCATTTGAATCACCTCAGATTCTGGCTCAGTAGGTCCTGAGGGGGTACAGGCACACCTTATTTTATTGAGCATTGCTTTATTACACTTTATAGTTATCGCAATTTTTAGAAACTGAAAGTTTGTGGCGATTCTGGGTGGAACAAGTCTGTCACCACCATTTTTCCAGCATCATTTACTCACTTCATGTGTGCGTCAAATTTTGGTAATTCTTGCAGTTTTTCAAACTTTGTATTTGTTATGTGATCTGTGACCAGTGATCTTTGATGTTACTACTGCCACTTGCTGAAGGCTCAGATGATGGTTAGCATTTTTAGCAATAAATATTTTTTTAATTAAGGCACGTGCATTGGTTTTTTAGACATAATGCTATTGTATACTTAATAGACTACAATATCCATAACTTTTTATGCACTGGGAAACCAAAAAAATTCGTGAAACTCGCTTAATTGGAATATTCGCTTTATTGCTGTGGTCTGGAACCGAACCTGAAATATCTCCAAGGTATGCCTGTAATGACAGGCAACCCCTGGTGTTGCCATTGCTCCCCTGGCCCGGGTTCTGAATGGCAAGGGAACAGTTATTTAACAATTCCCATTTGGGTTGTTTCTAGTTTGTTGCTTTTATAAATAATATTGTGCGTAAAGGTTTTCTTCATGTGTGGGATCACTTCTTGGAGGTGGGTGCCTAGAAACAACTAAGCACTGAGTCACACACAGGTCATGGCTGTTTGGATTGGTGGTCAATATTGATGATTATTTTTGCAGAGGATTTTGCCAGTTGTAATAAATATGTTACTCCCCAGGTTGGTGATGAGGAAATTGAGGCTTAGGGTGGTTCGGCTGCCCAGGGTCACACAGCTAATTGGTAGGAGAGCCATGCTTTTAACCCAGCCTGTCTGTTTCAGAGGCCACTGCCTCTTCCTCCCTGCACTGCTGGCTGCTGCATTTACCACGTTCCTTCCCTCCTCTTTAAGGAGCCTGTTTGAGAAGATCAGTGACGTTGTCCCTGCCCCACCATTGGCTATCTTTTTTTAGCTTTGCTAATTTGATATGGGAAAGAATGAGCTCCTGTTAATGTTCCTTTTTATTTCTATTTGCTTGACAGAGCCAGTGCCTCCAGCTGGTCACATCCTTTGTCCTTTGATAAATTTTGTTTCCTAAATGGTCTTATTTACTTGATTTATATGTACTGTGTACACGGTAAAGACGTTAAGTTGTTTCTGCTCCAATTGTGTTGTCATTTGCCTTAGAGTTTGTTTACTTTCTTAGAGTGTAATTTAAAAATTTTATGTAGCTGTAACCATCCATCTTCTTTTCCTGTTCCCCACTGAGCTTTTAAAGAGCCTTTCCCCTTGCAGAGGTCTGACAATCATGGAAAGATATTTTTAAAAGAAAGCATAGATGTGTTAAGGGCACTTGTAAGAAATGGAGCATTAATTTTGGGCTGTTTTTCCTCAATGCCATGTTTACCTCATAATCTCTCCCTCTTTTCCTACCCCTACAGTTTCTCCACAAATATTTTCCTACCAGAATGAGAGGGCAAATTTAGGGGGAATGGTGCTCAAGAATAAGATTTATAGTTTTCAAAACACAGAGGGAGTTTCGAAAGGACAATTTGAAATAATGTAAACTGAAGAACTACCTAAGCTTTTTTGCCATAATTTTCTTCCATTTATTATCCGTTGTTATGACAGAACCAGACCAAACTTTCAATTTAAAACTTTCAAAAAATTTTTATCATGTTTATACATGCGTGCAATTTAAGAAACAAAATGATCCTACAGGACTTATTATGAAAAACCATGGTACGTAACCCTTACCCTAATCGCACTCAGCCTGCTTTCCTACTCTCTTTAGCTCTTTCAACTGAGTCTCGTGGTGTTTACCTTCATTTCTTTAACTCTTTTTCCAGAATTTTTGTGTGTGTATGTGTTTATCCTCAGGTCTCTAAGTGCCATGGCAATATTGTTTCTTTATAATTTCTAATACAGGCTGTTGCTGACTTCCTGCTGGGGAAGGCCAGGATTTAGAGCCCTTGTATTCCCCACACAATCCTTCCCCGCAGCTTGTATGTGTTTTGTGCCTTTTCCTTCCCTTCTTCCCCTCCCCCACCACCCCAGTACAGTAGTTTAGGCTTCTTATCCCATCTTCCCAGTGTCATTTTCTGTCCTTGATTTAACTCAGTATTCAGAGCTTACATTCTTACAGTTTTGTAGATGCTATTCATAGCCAAGTCATATAGTTTCCTATAATTACTTTTCAACACAATATTTCATTTCCTGTAGAGCCCGTAATTGCCTTGCTTTTTGCTCTGTTAGTTTTCTGTGTACTTACTCATTCCCATGTTGTGACTCAGTGCAGCCGCGGAATTAGGTGTTCTGTTAGCCTCATCTCCAGAGCTCTGACTCACCCATGTAGGGTGCTCCCTCTCTTAGGCCTACAGCACAGCTCTCAGTATTCCCTTCGCTGGCATCCTAGCAAATCCCGTTTCTTCTTTTTTCTGTTTTCTCCTTTGCCTTGTAGAGTACATCTTCTGTAATTTCCCGCAAAAAGGAATACATAGGTGGTAAATATTGTGAAATCTTGTATATATGAAATGACTTTAGTTTATCCTTGGTCTATTTTTTAAGATTAGGCTCAGTTAATAATATGGCTGCGTATAGAATTCTAAATTGGAAATCATTTTCCCTCAGAATTTGGAGGCATTTTTCTGAAGCCTTTTCTTTTCCAGTATTGCTTTTGAAGAAGCCTGATTCTTGATCTTTTGTGTGAAGCTTGTTTTTGATCTCTGGATGCTTGAAGGTCCCTTGTTAGCCCCAAGTTTCTGAAGTTCCATAATGCTGAATCTTGCTATGTAGATCTGTTTGCTTCTGTTGAGCTGGGCTTTCAGTGATCCCTTTCAATTTGGAAATCCGTATCCGCTATGTGGTATGTTCAACCTGACGTCCTTAACTAGAAATCTTGATCAGTTTTTTTAAAGGGAAATTATAATGAAACATGTTTCCCAGAGCCCAGAATATTATCAGTTAAATGTTGAAAAGGGGTCATGGTGATTAAATTGGCTAACCAAAATTGAAAAGAATGCTGACAAACATAAAATATAGACAGTCACACATTTTATTTGCCAGAGCAAACAAAAGTTTCGGTGAATGACTTGTTCATGCCATTTACCACTCTGGTATCCAGCCCAGACTTGTATCAGAGACAGGTAGATTTATTTATAAACTTGTTCACTCTTATTAAAAGGAAAAACATGCAGTTCTACCCACATAATTTCAGAAGATTGAAGGTACATCCTACTCAGTCCCTTGCTTCAATTTGGTCCCCCAAAATCACATACCAAAAAAAAAAATTCATATATTTGACTTTCTAACCTCCAGCTGCTTTAGCTAATAAGTTAGTAGAACATTTGTCCTCTAGGCCAAGCGTGTGAAATAGATCTTTAAATTTTTCCCAGAGATTTTCCCCCAGATGGCAGTTATGGTAGTAAGTCAATCAGTCAGTCTTTAACAGTGTAGTGAAAAAAGAATTCAGTAACTAAATATCTGGTGACGTGTGCTCTCAAAAGTGCCAACATCTAAGGGAAGCTCTGAAGGTGCATGCTTCATCTCTAGGACCACACTCTTCCAAGGGCTGTCTGAACAGCAGTGAATGTTGAGTGGGCACACTTCATGGCGGGGGGAAGGGGTGATTTTACATGTCTTAATATAAACTCATAAAGGAAAAACACTCCTGTGCATCTCCTGTACTCTGAAAACCCCACTGAATACTTCTGTGACTAGATATATGGGTTTCCCCCGCCACACACACACAAGCAAACCTCTAACCCTCTTTAACTCCATTCTGGCACTGTCTACCTGGAAATAGCATCGGATCCCACAGGGTAAGGGCTCAGTCTCACACTGACTGTCAGCCCCCAACCACTTCAGACTCTGATCACAGGTTCAGATTGTCACCTATACTTCTTACCGACCAGCTTTAAATTGGAAGTTCCTATGACCCCCCTCCTTGGGTTCAGTTAATTTGCTAGAGCTCACAGAACTCAGGAAAACATTTTACTTACTGGATTAGCAGTTTATTATAAAAGGATATAACGTAGGACCAGCCACATGGAAGAGATGTGTAGGGCAAGGTATGTGGGAAGGGGCGTGCATCACTCTCCCCACATCTCCTCATGTTCACCAACCTGGAGGCTCTCCAAACCCCTGTCCTTTTGGATTTCTGTGGAGGCTTCATTATAGAGGCATGATTGATTAAATCATTGGCCATTGGTAATTCACTCAACCCCCAGCCCTTCTCCCCTCCTTGGAAGTGGCGGGAAGTGGGAAAGAGGTTCCAACCCTCTAGTCACCTGGTTGGATCTCCTGGCAACCACCCCCATCCTTAGGGGCTTTCCAGAAGTCACCTTGAACTCATGAACATGAACCTAGGTGTGGTTGAAAGGGGCTTTTATGAATAACCAAAGACACCTCTATCTCTTCTCGGGAAATTTCAAAGGTTGTAGAAGCTCTGTGCCAGGAACAGGGATGAAGGCCAAATATATATTTCTCATTATAAATCACAATATTACAAAGCTCAATTCTGAATATAAATTATAATCGTAGCAGACTTTTATGTGGGCTAATAGTCTGATTTTTTCTTTTCCCACCAGCTCTTCGGAGACTGGGAAGCCCAACTGAGGAGAATAATGAAGCTCATTGCTGGCGGCGGCCTATCCATCACGGGCTCCCACAACATGTGTGGGGACTACCTGTACAGCGGCCACACGGTCATGCTCACACTCACCTACCTATTTATCAAAGAGTGTAAGTCGAAAGCAGCCTTCCATGAGAAATGTAACTGGGCATGGAAAATGGGAACAGAACAGGCCTGATGTCAGCGGCCCTGGGGGGCGGGATTCCTAACCGCCTGTTGGTTGGTACCTGCAGTACTTTAATGGGGTTAAGCCTTATCCTTGGAGATGCCATATTGGAAGACTTGGGTCACAAACTGATTTTGAATCCTGGTGCTATCACTTACTAGCTCTGTGACCTTGGGGAAAACCTCTAACCTCTGTAAGTCATAGTTTCCTCGTCTTCAGAGTGAGATACTGATAGCTCCTTCATGAATGAGGGAGAGGTTGTGAAAATTAAAATAGATGGCATATAGGGACACTAGTAGAGGTGCAGGCAGAATGAACGGTAGCCGGTCTTTGTTGTTGTATTGTTAGAGTACCAAGTACAGATTTTCCTGGAAATGGAGCCCTGTACATACTCTTAAGACCCTACCCCCAACCGTGACCACTCCATTTAAACTGACAAACCTTCCTTCACCCTCTCTACTGCTGATCCCACTTATTTGGTTCAATTTTTTACTTTTCCATAGGCTTTAACACCTTCTAACATAATGTATAATTTACTTTATTATAATTATTTTTTATTGTTTCTCTTCAGTACTAGGAAGGGATCTCCCCACAAAGGCAGGCTCTTTGCCTATTTTGTTCATTGATTCCAGTGACTAGAGCAGTTCCTGTCCTGGGCACATCGTAGATGCTCAATAAATAGTGGTTGAATGAATGATGGATACTTGGACCCCTTGAAAATTCTGTAAAAGCCTAAACTGTCTTCCCCAGGGTGAGAAGGGTAGATCACACTCAGACAACATTGTTGCCTAAAATTTCAGACCCTCTGAAGCCCACTCAGTGAGAATACGAGGTAGGAAGGCCTGCACGAATAGAGATTTTGAATCTCCCATCAGGTGACTTCCCAGACACTGCCCTGCCCTTGGGAACGTACTTGGGCTTGAATTCCCAGGCGTTTGGATTCTCTCTTATTTGTATTTGAGAAATGGACATCTCAAAGACTTTCAAATTAGTGTATGGTTGCAGAGCTTGGAAAGCAAATAGGGCAGTTGTATCAATTATAATTGCCTAGTCTGTGTATAAGGATCAAAAGGTACTGATTTTTGTATAGAGCATTAATCCCAAATTATTTCCTGGTAAATTTAATTGTCAGTGGGCGGTGTTGTTTTGTATTTTAATGGTGCGTGATGCATTAACCTGTCCTTATTTGTCCTTTTAAGCTACACTTATAATTACATGAATCAAGTAATAACCAAATATAAATTACTATGGCTAAGAAAGTCACTTTATGAAATAAGCTGCTTCCCTTCTAACCTCCGCTACAGAGAAACGAAAGCCCTTAGATTTGCTACCCCAAAAGATCTGTTTTCAGAAGGAAAGATCCAAGGTAATTGGATTCAGAAGTAGTAGTTGAGGCATGGTCGGGTGCCCTTAGTGGCACTTGAATAATGGGACTATTGCAAATTTCTCCTTTTCAGATTCCCCTCGACGACTGTGGTGGTACCACTGGATCTGCTGGCTTCTCAGCGTGGTTGGAATCTTCTGTATTCTCTTGGCGCATGACCACTACACTGTGGATGTGGTGGTGGCATATTACATCACCACAAGACTCTTCTGGTGGTACCACACTATGGCCAATCAGCAAGTGAGTTTCTCTCCCCATTTGATTTTAACCCCTATTGCTCTTGGCCTGCCGTCGCTGGCGTGGCAGGGGGAAAAGCGCAAAGAACCCACAGATGTCTTCGGTTTCTCTTGTCTTAAGAGGTAGTCAGCTAAGGTTGTGTTGTCTCTTGTGATGCTGATCCACTTCTGGATCAAAGGTGAGCCAGAAATGTGTTAATATAATGACATAGGAGACGGCATCCTTCTAGAACAAGAGTCACGCTCTCATTGTCCCTGGAAAATATTTTTTAAGCTGTGCCCACCTCCTGCTTGATTTGCAGTCCTACCTTCTTTTCTATCTTTGGCCCCTCACCAGCTTAATACTTAACATTTAATTAACTCTCTCTGTTTTCATCGTAGAAGAGTAGCTAAAACACTAATTCAGGTATTTCTTTATGGACAAGAGAGTGAGTAAGCCGCATATTCCCCGTGTACTCCCGGAATTGGAGTTACTTGTTTTTCTGCTAGGGTGTGGCCCGGTTTACAGCTGAATGCAGAGTGTAGAACGGTGGTGGGAGTGTGAAACTGTGGCTATGTAGGTGGTCATGGGGCGGGTCTGGGGGCCTTTGGGAATTTTAATATGGAAACTATTTGAACCTAAAGTGAAAGGTTATGAGAAACATGTGTATGTTCCTTTTGGGGCTGGAACCATCAGTTCTTCCTGACTTGGTTTTCTCTTTCTGTGTTCTCTTAGGTGCTAAAAGAAGCTTCCCAGATGAACCTCCTGGCCAGAGTGTGGTGGTACAGGCCATTTCAGTACTTTGAAAGGAATGTCCAAGGAATTGTACCTCGATCTTACCATTGGCCCTTCCCCTGGCCAGTAATCCACCTCGGTAGGCAAGTTAAATACAGCCGGTTGGTGAGTGACACATAACAGCTGTACACGGTGGGGAAAGAGGAGCTGTCCGAAGTGCTAAGAACTCCATGAGAAAAGATGCCATAAAATGAACACCTCCCTTATCCTGTTATCTTTCAACAGTTACCGTGACTTAACCGATTGAGTTACCTGGTCAGCACTGTGATCTTTTTTTCTCTCCAAAGGACCCGCGTTGGACAACAATAAAGAAAATTTAACCTGTCGTGCACTGTACACATTTCCTGTTCATAGGCTCGGGATTTACATAACCTTGCAACCACCGTGTTCCTTTGTATATGATGCAACAGCATAAATGTAAGCTTTTATATCATAAGTTCTGGTCTTTCCAGTCACACCTGGAAATAAAGCGTATTATTTTCTTGGGAAAACATACTTTTCATATCTCTTGCCCCAAAGATTGGGCTGTAAGCCATTTTCTAGCAAATGTCTCTATGAAGGTTTCTAAGTACCTGAATGGGGTTCGATTCTGAAATCTTTCTACCTGTTGCACCGATATTCAAATAAAAATGACAGACACAGAAAGGTTTGGTAACTTTGGATTTTGTAAAAATCAGCAGAGACAGTGTGTCAAAAAGTACAAAAAAAAAAAAAGATTCTGTTATAAAGTGATTTTCTAAGTATTTCCTAACTTTATTTTTCAAAATGATGTTATGAAAACCAAATTTAAAGATTTTTACATGTCAGAGAAAAGAGAGTTAAAATTTAAAAATGTTTCTTGGGAGAGAAATTTGTCTATGTTTCTAGTGCCTTTCTTGTCTTGATTGTATGGTCAGTAGGCAATCTTCAATGTTTTTATTTAAAATAAAGTATTCCATGAAAATATAAATGTATGTATTACTACTAAATTTTGCATTATAGCTAAATTAAATCAGAAGACTGCTTATGGTTTTTAAATTGCTATGAATTAAAGAATGGGAGAGTTAATTAGAAAGTCAGAGCCTGTTCCCATATTGTGAGCAGGTGGCAATGACAGGTACCACTTCAATTATTTTATCATCTATTTGGTAGTTTGATTTTAACTATACAATGAAAACAGCCGTGAATACTTTGTTTTTAAAAAGAGAGTTTTGAAAATGATCACTTAACTAAAAATTGAAAGCTATAAATTAGTTATCCATACTCTCATGGCAATTTTGTTGGTAAACAACAAAGAAGAGATCTATTTCTTTAAAATATATTTGTGCAGGAACTGCATGTAACTCTGAAGTTTTACTCCTAACATGAGTATGTTTGGGGAAGTATTCTATTCTATACTTGCCAATGTGGAGAACAAAATAGTTTTTTAAGAATGAAGAAGTATATATATCCATTCTGTATTTTATGTGCAGCAGAATTATCTTCCGTAGGGTTTTTTTTGTGTATTCACAAGGTAATATTTGTATTGTAAAACAATAATGGTGAAGGAAATAAAAAGGCTTTTAAAATTTTGTTTGTTTTAAATCTTTGTAAAGTTATTATTCCAGAGAGTATACTGATACCTTATTAACAGCTTACCTAGATCATAAAATAATCAAAATGCACTTTTTAATAAAAACTGAAACTTAAAATAAATGGCTACTATTTCTAATGTGTTCACATTCTTCACAAAAGTCGTAAATGAAGTCATTAAAGCAAGATGAAAAACTGAGTTTTGAAATTTCCTTGCTGAGTTTCTTTGAGAGAGGGCCTTTATAATCATGTTTCTTTTCCCTTGAGATTCCTTAAAATGTACTGTAAAGTTCGGTAACCTCTACAGATTGAGTGTATTTTTAAAAACATATAAAAAGACTTACAGATAAGTTTAAGTCAAACTGCAGACCACTGTTTACAAATAATTTTGAATTCTCTAATTCTCAATCAAGTCACTTAACTTTTTCCCCCTATAACTGGAAGTAATACGACTTTTTCAGTTTAGTTGGAAAGGAAAAGTAAATTCCGAAATGAGAAATACAGTAATACTACTTTGCTAATCGATGGTAATGCAAAAATTTTTTAAAAAGAAAAAAAATATTGTTCCTGATGTGGGAAAGAAAGGAGGATGTTAACAGTCGAAGCCTGTCTTTATTAAGGGAGGCTGTTATGTAACCAGGGAGGCTAGAACTGTAAAACTAGGAAGATTTCCTGCATGGGACCAGATGCCACAAATTGAAAGGGAAAGTATCTTGAGTAATGAAAATGAATTCTTGGCATATGCTAAAAATAGGATCTTTCTTTCCTAGGTCAAAATAGTTATATAAAAAAATTCATTATGTTAAGTTTACGTACTACATATGTACCAAGAAATTCACTTGGTGGTTGTTCTTCATGCCTGACTGTACAGAATCATGAATTGACATGTCTTGTGGCTCTCAAGTCTGCAACTTCCAGGAAGGACAAGAGAAATCTCATGTTCTGGAGAATTGTAGTACAGTTGATAATGCCTGCCTGAACAAGGACATGTGCTTTTTTGTGCTTCGCTTTATTTAAGCCAGAGCCCTAGACAATAGCTTCTTTATTTTACTCTCTTTAAGAGTTGGGCAATTCACATGCATTATCTTGTTAACCCTCACATCACCACAAGGTTTGTTATTATCCCCATATTATGGGAGTTGACTCAGGTATGTTAAATAACTTTCCCAAGGGCATGCAGCTGGTTAAGTGGTAAAAATCTGATTGGAGTCCAAGTTTCACCCACACCTCAACAACCTCTCCACCCAAATACTGTGAGCTTTCGTAAATTCTTCAGTAAGAGTCCACAGTGAGAGAAATCTGCCTACGGTGGTCAAGCTAAAGCAGGGTGACTTACTGTGAACCGAGTAGTAGGAAATTCACACCATGAGGTGGAGAGACTAATTTTGCCAGTTTCCTAATTGCTGTATGTTTTGTTTGTATCCCAAGCAAATACCTAAATGGATAAATTTGATAAATATCTCATAAAATTTATAAATATCACATAAAATGAGAGTGCCTGCTAGCTTTTTTAAAATTCTTATTGATGAGTATAGTTTTTATTTTTTAACATCTTTATTGGAGTATAATTGCTTTACAATGGTGTGTTAGT